TGATCTGATTTTGAATTCGGGTTATAATTACCTTGCTGCCTACTCTCCTGGTTTTTCATCACATCAATCTCCTGGTAAATAACCAAATTTCAGTAACAATTTTTAGCTTTTACTGATGAAAATGCTTCCTAGCAATAACTGAAATTTATTGAATTAATGAGACTTAAATTAGGCAAATTCCGATCCCCCACATCTAATCTAATCTTCATATTAGTTTTTCTCATTAAATTCTATTTCATCTGAATTGTATTGTTTTATTATTACATTTTACTGAGCTTTGACATATTAAATTTCATTTGTTCTTATTTGTCTTAATCGACTGTAGACATTTGTAGACTTTTATCTGAAGATTCAAGCAATGTTTAATCCTTTGCGGCATGGTGTGGTACGCACAGAAAAATTGAATGAAAAAGGATTTATAGGTTACTCTGAACCTTCTTTATTTACAGTAAATGACAGCTAATATCCTTATTCTATATTAGTTTTAAATTTTTACCTTGAAATCTTACCTAAAGCAATGGCGAACCCAGGGTTTCCAAGTGGGCCACCGAGACTCTAAGACTGCTAAGGACGTATTCTTTGTCTCGCATCTCATCAGTCAGTTTCATTGATGACAAAAGGTGGGTCACACGGGTTCATTCCTGTTTTTTTCTATTCTTCTTTCTCTCTCTCTTTTTTTTCGGGGGGGGGGACATTTGGTTACAACTAACAAATTGTTGGGTGATTTTTGAAGGTCAAGGGTAATTTTATCGTTAGCTTTTGGTTTTTCACTAGAGCAATTCTCTTTTTCTCTTTCGCTTTATTCAAGTTGCAGCGCTACGTTTAATGTTTGAGTTTAGACGTTTATTTAATTTTAGTTTATATCTTAATTGGATATAATATTAGTTATATTTATGTTTTTTTTTTGGATTTTTTATTTTCCAATGATTGAGAGGCTAACCATTTTGAAGCATGAAAGTGCCTACAAATTGCTTTCAGATAGTGAATCTGATATGGATCCCAGCATATGTGCAAAACATTCAATATTGGGTTGCGCTTTTTTAAAGGTGGTGTCACTTTCTTCGAAAAATACCACCATGCAAAAAATAAAACATGAAAAAATAAATAATGTAAATATCATATACCCAAGTTACTTTTTTTCCCATTCATACGCATATAACCAAAAGCGAGCTTTTTAGGGGTGTGCAGAGTAGCAGGTCTACCCATGGCACACCCTGGGTAATGCTAAATCTGCTACGGTATTCAGAATCTAAAGTTTTTTTTATCATAAGCAAAATCTCTTACTCTTTTGCGTGCTTCTCAGCAATGCTCGTTTCAGCACTCTTTCGAAGCTCTATTCAATCAGTGTGCCCTCTTCAGGTACACCCACAGAATTAAAACGATAATTGCTATCTTTACACAATTTTACTTGTGTACTCCACTAGGCATAATTAGACTGCCTACCCCTTTTTTTATCGAAATTCCAACTTTAAAAAGTACTGTGCCGGTAAGGGTTAATCTATCAATATCTATTTGTATTTAATTTTTTTGTTTCAATATATGGTACATTACTAAGTTTATCTGAACAAATATTATGTGCATTAATTGTTAATTTTATTTTCATTGTGCTGAAATGTACTTTGGTAAATAAAAGCTTTTCTTTACTACTGAAGATTTTCTAAGTCTAAAGGTGTAAGAAAATAATTAAATAGTTCAGTAACTTGAACCACATCATATTATAAGTCAGTTGGGAGTTCCTTTGAATCGGTGTCGTTGTGCTGCAGGAAAAATCCTCCTCTTTTTCTTTTTTTTTTTTTTTTTTTATCTTCTTGGTTTTAAGATTTCAACGTTGGAAGCTATGATATTGGAATCAAAAGGGTCAACATACAAAGTAAACCAGGAGAGGGTCATTTTGGCATTATAACCAAGAAAATATTATTTATTGATGACATTTTGGAGAACTCAGAGCCAAATCTGTAATGCTTGTAAGGTAAAAGCTGACAATCACAACATTTTTAAGCATTGAAATTCCCCTCCCCAAAATTATATCAAAAGACTCTGAAATGTGCCTTAAATATTTAATTTATTCAGTATTTGCATATTACCTTGGCACAGTTTGCTGATTTTTTACAGATGGAAAGATAAATGTTACCTATCAAGAGTGCAAATTGGTTGTTTTCAATACTTTTTTCAAAAAGATTTCTAAAGTATTAACCCATTAACTGCCAAAACTACAAGGAATGTTTCTTTTCTCAAAAATATTTAAAAATATAAATAAACATTTATAACATAAATTTACTGAAATTAAAAATGCTCGACCTGTGGAAAAAGTGAGTGTTGCGTTGGCAACGTCAGCGGAATAAACTGCGGATGTTTAGTGGTAGAATTGTACTCATGTGATGTTTCTTTTGAGTGGAGTGAGATTGCTTTTAGCTGTATAACGTTTTATAAATCTACAAATCACTTTAATTAATTTAATTAAAAAATATGTATTTCTTTACAAATCAGATTATTTCATTTGAAAGGTTCAAGCATGAAACTTGATTATAATCATGATGTAAAGAAATTGACATTGCATATAAACAGTCTGGCTATGGTACTCTTTACACATTTTGTTCAACTACTTAACGATTAAAAGTTTACCATCTCCATGCAATGGTTTTTGATGCTGATTTACTAGGTCTTCTGTTGTGATCTATTTTTGGCTAATTCTACACTCTCAATAGAAGTTTGCAAAAGGAAAATGCATTCTCGTGTCTGAATCTAAAGAGACTTAGAAAAAGTGGTGAATTTTAGTAAGTTTGATACGGTCTCCCTCCTATAATTTATCAGTATTGTCAAATGCAAATTCTGTTTCATATTCCTGTACTACAAGCGTGATATCAATTCTCGTACGACAGGAACAGAAATGTCCTGATCAAAAGACCAATACATTTTTTCTTGAGGTAAAGAATATCCTGTAAGCAATAATATTCCAATAAATCTTCTCATATAGGCTTCAGATGCAATAAATTCTGTTCCCCCCCCCCCCAGCATATATATTTGTTTGTTCAACGAGAAGAGAGTAAATGTGTAGACCAAAAAGAAAATCTGTGCTAGTATTACCTCGCGTTTTGTCTTTTGTAATTTTTTCTATCTCTTTCTTCATGTTTTTCCTGAGACATAACTAACAGTTCTTTTTATCCACTTAAGATTCAGTCTTCTCTTTTTAAACTTTTTAGTATGACTATAACGCTTTAGAAGGCTGAAACTACTTCTTACGTGAATTTCAACTTTCCCAGCAGTATCATTTGGTAAAATATCATTATCATTATTTAAAACCTTGCCATTCCTTTCTTCTTTGTCACTAGCCTGCATTTCTGGGGACAACAACAATATCAGTTTCATTCGGTCATTATTAACATTATCATCTCTGTATCTTATCAAAAATTCTTTGAAGGGCTTCTTCTAATGTAAGATACCTCGTTCTAGGTATTTTTAAACAACCAGAAACATCGAAGAATAAGTGAAAAAGGGAGATTGGACTACCTTTCCTGCTGACATTGCATCATGCAACACCTGTTTTCCCTTCTTCCCAACACAAATATAAACATCTGACTGATGTAAGTTCTGATAAACGGTGACCTTGACTAAAAATCGATCACCATAAGACGGCATTCTTTCGTTAAATACTTTCAGCAAAAATATATCCGGTCGAAAATTTTGCTTAAAGTATGAGAGAATTATTATAACAAAATTATTGTTGAAGGCAAATTTTTTTTTACAGAAATAATCTTCAATATTCCCTACACAAAATCATCTGCTGGTATAAAATATCTTAGGTAGTTATATTTATATATGCATTTATTTTTACCGTTGTGTCAACGCAACACCAGCGGCTAATGGGTTAATTGAGTTAAATTGTTGTCGGCAAGTTGAATTATATGTAGGCAAGTGATATCGACGTATGAAAAGTCAACAGACTTTTTCAATTTAAAGTAAAAATTTTAATTTTTAAATAAAGGATTACATGACGTATTAAAAAAGATAAAAGCCTTTTTTCTTCTTGAGTATACAGCAATCTGTTTTTGCATAAAAGAAAGAGAATATCTGAGACTTGATAGTACTCAAACCTTGGGAGTGCCAGCTATCTACCCAACACATCTCTTTATTGTTCTCTTTAGAAATTTTGCATCAAAATTCTATATTCCTGAAGAAGTTTTATTAAAGTGTCTTCCATTGCTAGCAGATTCCAAGCACATTTTCAAATTAAGTTTAAGGCATAAAAATATCGCGAATTATTTATAAAAGCTTTTGAAATATAAAAAAAGAAGCATGTGAAAATAGCAGTGTTGCTTGACTGAAGGATTGTTCTGAGCATGGTTGCTTGAAGAACTGTTATGCACATGGGTTCCAGAGTTTAGCACATTCTGAAAATTTGGTGACTTCTACTAAAATGGTTGCAATAAAACATAATTTCTATTGTTCTTGGTTGTGAAAAAGTACTGTTTCATAAACAAAAATTAAAGCCAGTGTCGTGGGTTATAATTGAATATTTTCATTTGAGTAATTTTCAACGATTCCATTTTTAACAGGTAGTCCATCATATTATCCTCTTAATACTGTGAGTGAATTTTACTGTAATGAATGTTTTTTTTTATGGTCTCCAAGATGATGTATTTATTTTTTTGTCGGATAATTTTGATGAGTGTGCATGTATATGTAATCTATTTTTGGGGTCAGTCCTTAATAATTTTAGAATCTTTTGTTTTACATTATAAATGAATTTTAAAATTTTATGTGTGTTTTCATATCTTTGTCAGTAACTGGAGTTAACTAAAAATGTGTACTTTATTATGTATGTTAATATTATAGTTTTCTTTTTTTTTTTTTTTTTTTTTTTTCTCACTGTTTAAAAAACTGATAAAATATATCTGACACATTGCTGGCCATCAAAATTAAATAAAACTTTCATATGTATATAATATTTTTATTTGCAAATAATTGTTTTATTTTAAGATATTAATGTTTACATTTTTTAGATAAAACCTCCTGTTTTTGATGACTATTTTCAAGACACTTCAAATGAGTAAGATTCATATATTATTCTGATTAAATTTTTTTTTCCATCATCAGTGAGGTCATGTTGCACTGATTGCTTTAAACAGCACCTCTGAATATATGTTCTATGTGATTGTTATAAAATACTAAAATACAGGCATTTTGCACCAAATTCTGCAAAAGGATATTATATTAAAGAATACACTTGTGTTAAGAAAGGAGAAATAAACATTAAATATTTTTTGAAGTGAAGTGTAGGCTAAAATATAAGCAAGGAAAAAAAAAATAAATGATGCTTAAAAGAATTAAATATAGTCAGAATTGAGGAATAATAGCTAAACATTTTTGGAAGTTCTGTATGGCTTAAAATGTAACCAAGAACAAATGAGTAATATTTGGATGTGTTGAATATGCAATATAATGCAAGTGCTTGTGCTGTTTAAAAGAAAAAAATTGCTATTGTATTTTCATATATTAAAAATATTATCATTTACCCTTGCTGAAGAAAAATGAATTCTTTTTTAAGTTGAAAAACATAATTCAATTCAATAATTTAGAAATAAATCAGTGCAGATGTTAGCTCAGTGCTTACATCCAAAACCCAAAAAGTATTTATCACAGTTATATATATATATGAAATGTAATTTCATTACATTATTTGTTTTGTGCAGCCGGGGCAACAGGAATGAGACAAATTTTGGAATATAAAGTGCTAGGTTTATTTTAGCATCCATCTCACAAGCGTTCTAATCGTACCTTGAGCAGAAGCCTATTATACATATTGTGCGTCACGAGGCTCATCCAATCAGCGATATTAATTGAAATCACGAGGTGACGCTATCTTCTCATCAGGAGTGTTCTTAAGGACTTTATGTAATATGACAGATTTATGACTTTGGCGATTTGGCGGGCGCCAACACGTTAATATATTTTATACTAAAGAAAGGATTTCGCCAAAATTTAGGAACAGGGATGCAATTTAGGTAGAGAATCGCCAACATATTATTAAGCAATATTATTAGAATTCAATTTAATCAATTGATTTAAAAATATCATTACAGATTATCCCCCCCCCTCCCATCTGAAAAGGCTTGCAGTCGCGGGCGTCGACCCAAGACAGTCCAGATAGTGAGAGCAGAAATTAGTTATTAGGAAATTAGTGATTAGGAAAAATGATTGGATTTACCTCAAGGCACACAAAATGTTTACATAAAATATGACATAAAATATTTGAATATAATTAATACAGTATATTAAATATATTGATTAATGAAATTATAATGTAGTAACTAAGTGCAGAACAAATAAAGCACTAATAACATATTGCTGGTTAGCTACGCGGCAATAGGAAATAGTAATATAACTGAATTTGTAAGTTTATATCTTACGGGCATGCCACTTCACAGTTTGTGTATGAGTCCGTAAAATCATTAGAGTTGTTATTCAGGCTCATCTTTAGTCTTTTATTGGTCTTTGGAGATCTCCGGATCATTTAATTAGCGCTAGAAATATTGATTGACATTGGCACTGGAAACATTTGAATTTTTATGTCAGGATACTAGAGCTCTTATACTCTTGTTGAAAATACACATTTTGCTAGATTTTTAACATATTTTGTCACTCGCTTTTTATCTTATTAATGATAACAAAACAAAATTTAACTTCCGACATCCATACCAGTTTTTTGTACAGGATGCTGCAGAAACATAAAATGAAACTCAAAAATTTCAACAACTGAAATTTAACTTTTTCAACTGTTGCTACAATTTACAACACAAACATATGAAAACATGAGCTCAAGGAAATGTGAGGGTATAGTACTCTACTTGTAGTATAGCCTCAATTGAGTGTTTTCCACACGGGAAAGGGCATTCAAAGTTTGAAGGAGCCGCAGTAAAAGAAAAAGGGGCAGACAAGCTTCTCAGACACTGAGAGACCCCCCCCCTCAGGCGGCATATTATGTATATATAGGGGGAAAATAAGTGCAAGTTTTGCTGTCTAAAAACTGTTTACTTTCACAAAATAAAGAATAAAAGAAAAAAAAAAAATGCATAGAATAAAAGTGTAATAAAAAAGATGTAAGTATAATAAAAATGATGTTTGCATAATGAAAAAGATGCCCCAAAATGGAGTTTTTGATCAATTTTTATACCAGTAAAGTGTAATATCAGATTTCAGTGTTATTATACCTTATAAAATTAATATACCTAGAAAACATATATTTCTTCTGAATTGTTTGGAGGCCACAATTTTGTTCTTGACTTGAGTTTCAGGAACAATATGAAGCACAAGCAGGTCACCAAAAAATAATTTTAAAAAAAGAATCATCATTGTCAGACATTAAAAAAAGGCATTTACTACAAGCTGTAAACGAAAATGGAAGACACAGAATAAAAAATATGTTTTACTCAAACAGAAACACGAGCAATAACCACGCAGTCATAACTTTCACCGTTTCAGAAACATCCCCCTCTCCAATTCCACCAACCTCTTCTCTGAAATAGTATCCTCCTTCACATACTCTGTCAAGGTCATTGTGGTGTTGCATTCCAAAGCTTTGCGTATAATTTTACTGGTAGCAGTGCAAAGCAAATGATAGTATTTCAGAAGAGCGTATGTATATATATATATATATATTTGCCCAGGGCAGTTAACGCATTGGCTAAGCAAGGCATATATATATATATATGCCCGCGGCAGTTCAGGGGTTAAGGACTGGCACATAATGCAACCATAGGAATTATTAGCATCAAATACTGAAATGTAATTGTGAGGTTTGCTTGGATCATAAGATTCTGGATTGTTAGCTATTGCATGGCACTTACCTAATAGATGTCCCTCCTTGCATTTGGGATTCAATACAATTATAATTATCCACATTATTGAACAATCTAATTCCATTTTTGTATATTTTAACCCAGCATTCCAAGTAAGATTTGCTCTCACAAAATGAATAGGATCAAAATGATCAAAATTATAGTATTTGACAGACATTTGATGAAAAGCTGAAAATAAATCAGCTAATAGAAAAGTATCAGTGTTCTGATGAAGTTTCAAATAATCTCCCTGTGTTTGGTAATGAAGTATTTTATATATGAACAGGGCATATTGATACTGTTAATCTGTTATCTCCGATTATTAGTCAGTACATTAAAAGGGGATTTTTTTGTCTGGAAAGCATGTTTCTTTTTGATCTGATTCTGAATCTAGATAGGAATATTCTGGATTCTGAATAGATAGGAATATGGCAAGATTCCTTTTCTCAACAGTAAGAATCTGTTTGTTTCATCTTTGAAAAAATTATTAAAAATTTCAAATTTGCGATTGGACCTTTTTTTAAAATTTTCAACTGAAGTATCTAATGAGGTATCTAAAAATTGATAGGAATTAAATGGTATGATGCATTTCTAAACATCTTTTGGCATGTGTTGGAAAATTAAATGCGAATCATAGTTACAGGATTTATGTATTACGACAAAAATAAAATATGTAAATTTGTAATTTAGGTTGCAAAATGGATGTGCTAATCTGCATATACAGTCAAAAGTCGTTAATTCGAACTCGTCGGGACTTCAGCGATTCCAAATTGTAGATCATCAGCTTAAATCTGGTAAGATGGCATGCAGAAATTATAAAGTTAAAAATATGAAACCGTAATTTATGAAATAAAGAACAATTATGATCTAAAGGGTATCAAAATTTTAATCATCTGAAATTTCTCTCTGTTTTTACGACTGCGATTTTGAGTGTGAATTATCATTTTGGAGGAATATTTTTGGCAATTCACTGACGTATATATGGTTATCTTTCGAATGGGTTCATGGGTTATAATTTGTTTCTATTTCTATTATAAATGATGGGATACTCTAGTTTTTAAGAAAGAAGTGAAACATAAGCATTTCGAAATTCATTTTTTCTAATAAAGAGCTCATAAACAACTTTTCGCTTTTGGGGTTGTGAATTCTTTTATTAAATGGTTCTAAATTTGACAACTTGTCAACAGTTTGGCGATTTTAAGATCAGTTTCTATAGAAAATTTTTAATTCCGAGATCTGAGAATTTTTCGGCAATTTTTTTTTTTAAAACATCATAACATTGATAAATTTCATTAAAATAATGGTAATATAATAGAACTATATTTAAAAAATAACATTAAAATAAAACATTTTTATTTTTTGCTGTCATATTATAAAGTTTCATTTTGGTAACTTATTATTACTTTTAAATCTGAAAAATAAACAAGGTACGAGGGCCATCCAGGAAGTAGATTACGTTTCCGTCTGTGTCCGTTAGGGGTGGGGCTAGCGCGGCCATCTTGGGGTCAGAGCGTTGCGCAGCTCAGTCTGCATCTAGCCGTGCTAGTGAGAGGTTCGTGCTGTGCTCCGTTCAGATACTGTGACGGTTTGAAATGTCTGCATTAATTGAAAATCCCGCGAGCTGCGAGGTGCGCTCAGTAATAAGGTTTCTGACTGCAAAAAACTGTAAACCGATAGAAATCTATCGGCAGCTTCGTGAAGTGGTATGGGACAACATTGTCACTGAAGGTGGAGTGCGTCAGTGGGTCATAAGATTTCAAAATGGCCGAACCAATGTTCACGACGAAGATCGAAGTGGGAGACCCAGCATAGTGACCGCCGAACTTCTCGAAAAAGTCGATGCTAAAGTCCGTGAAAATCGAAATTTCACAATAACGGAACTTTCTTTGAGTTTTTCCACAAATTTCGGCGAAGTTTGTTGCACGAAATCATCAGCGAAAAGCTTGGTTACCACAAGTTTTGTGCAAGATGGATTCAAAATCTTGACAGAGGACCACAAAATCAGCGAATGGCTGCAGCGTTGAACTTTTTGGACGCTTACCATAAGGATGGTGACTCTTTACTCGATCGCATCGTTACTGGTGACGAAACATGGGTGAAAAACTGTGAACTGTGAAACGAAATTGCAATCAATGCAGTGGGGGCACACAAGTTCTCCCAAAACCCAAGAAATGCATGCAAACAATGTCGGCAAGGAAGATGATGGCGACTGTTTTTTTGGGACAGAAAAGGTGTAATTTTGGTGGACTTCCTGGAAAAGAGGCACTACAATAAACTCTCAAAGGTATTGCCAAACTCTCCAAAAACTCAGAAGAGCAATTCAAAACAAGTGCAGAGGAATGTTGAGCTCTAAGATCTTGTTGATTCACGACAACGCCCGGCCCCACACGGCAAATGTCACTCGTAAAGTTCTTGAATCTTTTAAGTGGGAGTTGTTTCCTCATCCGACGTACAGTTCCGACCTGGCACCGAGCAACTTCCACCTATTCCCAGCAATGAAGAAGTGGCTGGCTATGAAGGCGCAGGCGGCCGAATTTTTCGACGAAGGAATTTCCAAGCTCGTACATCGCTACGATAAATGCCTTAATTTATATGGTGACTATGTAGAAAAGTAGTATTTGAGTGTGGCTTTCATCTGTATATAATAAAATTTGTTTCCTATACTTTGTTTATTTTTTTATTCCAAAACGTAATCTACTTTCTGGATAGCCCTCGTATATAGCTGTTTACGTTCCTCATATTAGAATGGCGTCGACATGGATGACGCAGTTTCGACTTTAAACATACTTAATAAATTCAGTCACTCTCGTCTATTTAAACCAAACTGAATACATTTAATAATAAAACATTCACACATAAACATTTAGTAATAATTCAGCAGTACAGATAAGCATAAAATAATAATTACAACAGTTACAGGTCAGCTATGCTTTTAGCGACCGAATTCTATGAACAGCAAATCTCAAAAGCGTGTTGCCAACGCAGGGCAATGAAAAGGTAGAAATTAATTCGATAGGCGTGGAAGTGAACAATAGCTATAAAGCATAATTTACGAAACAGCTCTTAGTAAAAGCAAAATTAGCTATGTAATTAATTAACATGTCTTCTTTTTAATTTTTTCATAGTAACCGTTTTTCCCATGTAATTGTCTCAGATTATTCAAAATTCTCAGAATATATATCAGTTCTCTCTATAAAATTAATTTTACACTTTTTCCTTCACCCCCCCTTTTTTTTTTTTCAAAATATTTCTGGCTTTTTGCTGCTACATAATTGGTTGGGATAATTTTTCTTTAGTATTTTTGACACTGCAGCATGGAAAGTTTAGAAGGATTTGAAGGCAAGATTTATAGACCCACAATTCTAGAAGATTCGAGAAATGTCTCCATGAATGAAAAATGTGTCCATGGTATCAATATATCAACATGTAATGGATACATTTTACAGAAGGTTTGCAATGAATTTCTTACGTTTTGGAGAACGTCTGGAAGAACAATGGAAACATAATATTTGAATGTTTTACTCCTGATACTAGAATCTTTTTTCTTAACATGCTTATCTTCCCTTTATTTTTTCTACTTTTTACTAGACAAAAGCATGGAAAATATCAAAAATGCTTCTAATCTTATCACTTGGGCATGCATTATAGAAAGAGATTTTTTTATTAATAAAGAAATTGAAAACTTACAATTTAAAAGATTCATCTAATGTGTCTAAATGCCTCATACACCGAGCTGGTGCTATGCATTTTCCCACCTGATGCAATCTCTGCGTATCCTAAGTTCTGCTGTCTAGTGCCTATCTAAATTCTGCTTCCAGTGCCTGCCAAATTCCAAATTTCAGATTCACCATCTGAAGATAAAATTTTTATTTATCACAAGTTTTGCATGTATCTTTAGATGTTTGTTTAAAATGTAAATTAAATTTTGTAGCGTATTATTTTTCTTTCACTGGTACTACATTTTCTTTTCCACATTGCTTGGCATATAGTTTACACATTTTCTTAATATTTAAGTACTGTCCTCTTGAATTGTGAGTTCTGGTGTAGTGACTAGTGTAGGCTGAAAATGACTATATGTTTTATAACTAGTGTGTCATCTATTTTATTGCTTGCAACACGGCCTTTGCGCTCATCAACCAAACACTCGTAAAATATTTTTTGCGAGAGAGAATATCATGTCGGTCTCTTCAAAAATAATATGTAAAGGAATGTAATCTTGGTTCTTTAGTATTAATCGTAGTGTGTCTTCTTTTTATTTCTTTAATACAATCTCGAAAGAAAATATTTTGCTCAAGTTAATAATTTGACTGCGTAAACTATAAAATGTCTTCATGGCAGCCTGTCAGTCATCCGAAATAATTTTTTGATCGCACTTCTGACGATATTTCAAATTAAATCAACAGATGTTTTTGCAGGTATTAAATTTCCCCAATTAATATGTTTGTTGCAATAATTTTATTATTGCAATCGGAAGAATGTGAAGAAAAACAAGTGAGCCAGACTTTCTGTTAAAAAATCACATCAAAGAACCATCAGATGATTCACTATTTTTCACATCCAAATTGTTATTTGTCTTAGTCATCTCTATTATAACAGTATAATATTTATTTTCATAAACAACTTCTTCTATGAAACTGAAATAATTCTTTATAATAATTCAAACACAATGCTTGATTCTACAGCAGCTAGATTGTGACCAACTAATTTATTGTACTCGTACTTAAGTTCTGATTTAATGGCACAAGAAATTTACTGTTATCATTTGGCATGTGCTACTGAATTTGAGCTGAATTATTGCAATGATTTACAATAAAGTACAGAGTTAATTGAAGTGGCTTCTGACAAACATTATTTTTTACGACATTCAGTGGCCATTGTCGTTTAATGGTGTTAATCTTCATTATTTGGAAATTTATTATAAATATAAAAAAGCTGTGACTGAACAAAGTGCTTTGGCAGTTAATTGATTTGTGCAGTGAATGGTTCAGTTATGAACTGCATTTCTGAACTCATTCCAAAAGTTAAAAAAAAAAAGTAGTAAGTTCCAGTTTGAAGATGTGGTAATTTCTTTTGTTTCATTAATATATTTAATATTACCCATTTCTGTTTCGATACATCATAGTTTTAAAATACTGTTTAAGTAACCATTGCATTTTTCTTTTTAGTATGATGGTTTTATCTCGATATTCTTAACTGAATAGCTTCAATTTTGAAATCCTCCAAAGCCACTTTCAGTTTGAATTTGTGAATCTAGACTTTTCAACTTGCTCATTTTCTCATTTGATTCTTTGTATGTATAAATCATGAATTACAATTTTACATCCTCTTGTGAAACAAATTTTTAAGTTCATTTTTATTTTATTTAACAGTTAACTGTTTTATAATTAATTTCTCTTTCAGATTTACAAGTATGATCTCCAGTTTTTCGGTCCTTTAATTACATCAGTTTATAATTGTTAAAGATGATCAGCAACATGAAGTAAATGTGCATTAATTTGTAAATCAGATTGGACTGCATAAGTGGTGTTCCCAATGCATTTGTTGACAAATACAGAAAGCCAGCTGAATCATTTAGTAATAGTTTAAATATATTCATTGAACACTATTGCCATATGTTGGCAAGCTTAGAGTATAAAAACCATCACTAACTACACCACATTAACAGCATAAACCATCACAGCTTTGTGTATTTTTAATTGACATTTTTATTGCTTTTCAATACTATTTTTGTAGAATTTGCCAATGAAGCTTTTAATTAAACTAATTATCATTCTATTTATTTCCATTATTTTGTGTGTCTAAGGAGTTGTAGATAAAATTATATAATGAAGAAATAATAAAATTAGATCTAACAGATGTTATACCAACATAAAAGGACTAATTATATTGGTATTTTATAGGTTTTGCCATTTACAGTATTTAGATTTAAGTATGGCAATGATTCCTATAAAAGAATTATCATATCTTCTTGCAGTGTGCAACAAATTAAAAAAACTTAGTTTGGAAAATTGCCCTTTGGATGAGGATTGTTGCAGGTAATTTTTTGTTGTAATTGTTATGCTCATTCTACTTTTCTGTATGTTTATGAGTAATGTGTGTACATCCGCCATATTAACTTTTGTTATCATATAGATAATGATAAAAAAAGGGCCTTAAAATTAATTCAGCCAAATCTCCTCCAGAAAGAGGTTAGCTGAATCTTTCATATTTTAGTATTTGATTTTAATTTATCATCTAACCTTTAATTATACTTACATTTTGGTCTCTTAATGATTGCTTTAAAAAATTATTACTTTTTACTTTATATTGGTGTTTTTATTGTGTGTGTTTTGTCATTTATTTGCTTAAACTTTTACACTTTTATGTTTAATTATGTAGTCTTATAATTTTTAATTGTATAACTTTATGTAACAAAAAGGTGTTACTGATTTGACCATCTTATTTGGGAGTATTTATTTTATATAAGTATTGCTTTATAACCTAGAGTCATTATAATATTCAAAGCTTCTATATTGATCCATATGTCGAATGGATTTATGAAAAGCAAACAAGCCTACATTTCAAAACAGAACAGAATTCACCTTCAAATTTGTTCTAATTTTATCAAAAAATGCTCTTTGTTGTGATATGAATATAAACGATATGACTTGACTACAATATGCTGGCATAGACTTTTCTTCTTTAAATTAAGTAATTGTATAGAGCAGAACATTTTGTTCACTGAAGCTAGACCAACATCAAATTGTCTTTTGAAATGCATTGAGCCTTCTTTATTTAAAATAAGGGCCAGTTTAAAGTTACAATTTGCATGATTTTAAAGTAATTAGATCAATCATACATATTAACTGGGTTCAAACTGACATATTATAAAATCATCAACTAGAGTGTTTCTGCAAGTTTGAATATGTAGAAATTATTTTACTCGCAAGAAAGAATTGTACAGAGTGATATGAGACTTTTCAGGAATATTCAGTTTAAAAGAATTGTTAACTGTTTGGCTTGTAAGAAATAAATATGAGTTTGTCAAATCAGGTTTTAGGTAATAAATCTAATTTTCTAATAATGTTCATTTGCCTTTGTATGCTCTTGATGAGGTCTAAACTGAAGTTATTGTACAATTTCAATTTAAAGTTTCACTGAAGATAAAAAAGTTGAAACCTAATTATTAGTTAATGGGGGGGAGGAGTATAATTCTTCTTTGAAATGAAATGATTGCAGAATTATTCATTCAAAAAGACAACATATAGATTATATTATGAAAATTGGAAGACAATTAAATTTTCTTGATTTCCCTTCTTTGAGGAGTTCTGTTTTTGAGCTATAAATTGCATTTTAAAATTATGGAATCTGTCTTAGAATTAAATTTACCAGTTTTATTTTTTTTATAGTACAGGCCAAGATATTTCAGGGCACATTTTAATAGTGTTTCTTGATGCGTGTCTCTCTCCTCTTCCCCCCTTTTTTTTTAAGTTTTAAAGCCATGACATCTGAGGACTTTGGCTAAGTTTTTGATGCCATCTTTGATAGACATTAAGCAACTGTTTAAGTTGTTTGATGCCCATATTGTAAAATATAGTGTCCCAGATTATGAATTACCATATCACTGCTGTTTTGACATCCATATCACTATTTTTTTTTTTTAAATACCAGGCACTAGTTGTTTTAGGCTTTCACCACTGCTAAGGCCAGAAGTGTTGATCATTTTATTATGGAGTCACTGTTACCTCTTCTGAAAGGGCACACAATTTAAATCCATGTCTTCCCCTGGATTTGAACCTGGGCCCTTAGGTATGGCAGTCAGAGTCACTTACCTATTTGAGCAACTCACTCTGAAATATGCAGTCAACGAAGATGTTCCTTCAGATGTAAGAAGTGAAAATGTGTTCAGAAGCTCAGATGTGAAAATTCCTTGTCAGCTTTGGGCTAATTGACTGTCTAAAGGTTTCTATTGAAAATGATGGATTATCTGCCATGTAAACCTAGTCTGCCATTAAGTCATCTTTTCCAATTTATTAATCCATCTTTTTTTTTCTTCATCAATTCCCAGTCTACCATTAAGTCATCTTTTCGTATCTATTAGAGAATTTCCCATTCTCTTCAATTTAAAAAAGATGAAGCTGTGCAATAGAGCTGACATGATTCTACAAGTAAATATTCAGGAACTATATTTTATGAGACAATACTTGAGAAAACATTTCCATACTTAAATAACTACCTCAATCCTCATGATTGCCATATGGGGGGGGAAAAAAACCTATGTGCGCAATAAGAACTTATTCCATTGCATCCAAATAATTTGTGCTTTTGAAATAATAAATCATGGGATTAGAATTAAGGAATTTGGGGATCAGAGAACTTTAAATATTTTTGTAACTTGTTTTTGTGAATTCATATCAGCGCTACATCTATAGGGCCATCTTAAATAGGATTTTTCTATATTCCCATTTCTATGGAAGAGTGAAAAATCTAACTGTTCTTATGTTTAAAATTAGGAAACGTTTGTTTTGTCTCTTCTGCATTACAACTTGAATTGTTTAGCAATCCACATTTTTCTAAAATGTTTGATAAATTTAATCTTTTGTTTAAGTGGTGAGCATTACATATTCGCTTCAATCTAAATATTAAGCTAATGATCATATGAGCTTCTGAGTCTTCTGTGTCACTGAAAAGATTTGATTTTGATGTCTGTTAGCATTAAGCATAATCATTTCATTATGATCTGTATTACCGCAAGGCATGTATGAATAAGATGTTGACGACTTTTTCCACATTTTTGGTAGATTATTTTTGGGTATTAAAAGCCCTTTTTGTAATTCCTGATATTTTTCTTTATACTTAACAGTATGAAGAAATGTATGTTTGATTGTTAAAAATGTTTTTCCCCCCATCTCTCTCTCCCTTAATTACTTGTGCATTATTATGATCCTGGTTATTTGAACAGTTCCAAGAGACCTGTTGTTAATGCATTGCACCAAATCAACTGTTCTCAAATGGGCAGCAGACATGGTACTTACATCATGCTCATTATGAGAAGAGCTTTGAGTAATGTTGACATTTTGTATAGTCCATTAACAAGAAGAGCTTTGGTGCTGTTTAAATAAGGGAAGTTGCAGTACAAAAAACCTATTGCTTGAAAAAATTATGCTCAGCTGCAGAGATAGTTGCTGAGGGGATATTAATGGAAGTAATCAAGATAGCTAAAAGGATTTATGTATGTCAAATTATATATATATTTCCTTGAATATATGTTACTGAATTCTAGTTGTGATTACAAATTATATAAATATCAGTGTAATTATTAATGTTTTATAAATAGGATTGCTAATGCAGTGATTGTTGTGTGACATGTTTTTTTTATATATTATAGCTTAAAATTTTAATATTTCTATTAGGAGAGGATTTACAATGCATATCCCTTTAAAACTCTGTTTAGAACTTTTCGTTTGTTGTTAATTTTATACCTTCTTTTTACACCTTTCTTTTAATATAGAAGAATTAATATTCAATAATTAATACAGAAAAATGTGATATATGCAGTACAAAGACTGAGTTTCAGACTTGCCAGGATTTCATCAATTCCCTATTACAGAATTTTTTTATTTTAGATCATCAGTTTATAGCTAGGAAGCTAATAAGTAGATATAATAAAATTAAAACTACGAAATGGCTGTTTATGAAATAATGATGTATTTAAAATCTTAAGAGAATCAAAATTTACCAAAAAAAGATGAACATTTACTCCCAAGAGAATCAAAATTTACCAAAAAAGATGAACATTTACTCCCCCCCTTTAATTAAACTTTTTTTTTCCCCCGCAACAAATATTCTTGTCTACTTTCAAAGTTTTACTGTTCAAGTCCTGAAATTTGAGCTGAGAATCCTGACTGAAGTGTAAATCAAAACTTTTTCATTCTCAAAAACCTCTTCTTCACTATCAGTAACAATATTTTCTGGATTTAAAACCGTACAACATATTTTGCATTAGTTAGTTGACTGCTGGTTTGGGTATTGCCATCACAATAGTAAACTTCTATTATATTATATTGATTTATTATCATTTTCCCACACTTTTTTACAAATTCCATTAACTGAAAAATGTCATCTTCTATAGTATTCAAAATCTACATCAAGATAACGTTATTCTTTTGCCTAATTTTGAACCTGCACTTTCTTAAGCACCAAGGCTAGTATAGAAGGCAAGGATAAAATATTCTTTCACTTTGCAGTTCCTGATACAGCTTCAGGATCAAAAACTCTTTTCGACATAAATATTCACATTCAAACTAAATTAATTTTGATACGATAGCTGTAATAATAATAGCTGCAAAAAATACAAATTAGTAAACTAAAGAGTGCATTTTGCTATGTTAACTGAAGTTTTTTGGAATGTAATTCTTTTCTTTTATCTGCGCTCTCCTACTTTGCCAACAAAAGAAAACCTGTATGAGCAACACTCCATTTCAAACAATTATGCTTTGGCACTTCCCATATTGTTTAGGTCAAACAGAAAAATATTCTCCTGCCCTCTTCATAACCACTCAAGTGCCAGATGTGTGATCGCAACTAGTATCAAACGTATTGTATTTCCTTAGGAAACAAAGACAAACTACAAAGCTACTAAACAAGTGGCATCATATTATGAATTTCCATGTGTTGAACGTAAATGAATAATTATTTTAATATTGGATTTTATTTACAAAGTCGAACACACTCATGTATTTTATTTAATTTTGTGCTGCTCTTACTAAATAATAATCCAAGGCTTCTGGTTGCTTCATGAGATCATGTGTCCAATGCTCTCTCAAGAAGTATTCCAAACCTGGATACCCACTTGCCTTTCCAGCTGATCTTACTCCTGGATTTTACGATGCAGTGATTTTTTTTAGATGAAATAGCCTCCATTTTTCTTTTTCAGAGTCTCTTAGGGCACTACCTAAAAAAACTTCAACCTGTCAGAGTTTTCTTGGGATCAGTTGAGACAAATGGAAAGAGCTACTAAGAATTGGCATTTAAATGCTGGTTTTAATATAAATATCCAAGTATCTGTCAGTCAATTGTATTATCATTGACCCTTTTGGGACAGGGGCCTCAGTCTCTTGGGATGGGCAGTTTGTGCAGCTAAGCCTAATTTAGGAGGGATTCACATAAATTAAATTTGTGGTCCAATTGCTCCAATTTTTGGCATTTTATGAGTGGAACACTCAAACAGTTGTCAGAAGTAATTTGGAAACTTTATCATTATATTATTCTTGCCATTTGAAGTATAAAAAATATTTCCTTAAACAATACACAAAATATTCGCCTCAACACCAGCAAATTCTTAGAGGAATTAGTAAAACCTCTGAACAATAGAGCATATATCCCCTATCGCCAAAAAGAGAGTGTTCAGAAGCATCAGGTATATCCTTGTTGTTTACATCAGCTGATACAATTAATAGACAGCTCTGTTTATTTATGTTACTCATTCTATGATTTTTGTTTTGATTCCAAAACAAAATACCAAAAATAAAAGATACTGCAATGGAATAAAGGTCAGCATTCTCCATTCTTGATAAATCCCACCATTAGAGACACATGGCTACATCTAGAAGCAAAAAGTATTAATTAAAGATTCTATCTAAAAGTTCATATGTTGTACACCCATCCTGACAATGCATTTAATTGCCAATTCATATATGATACACCTGGCTCTGTGATATAGTTAGGGGCTGATGTGTATATGAGAAAAAAATACATCTCCCGAAAAGGTTAAAATGACATACAGGAATCTCAGCTAGTTGGAAGAAAAATCACTTTTACCACACACTTGCTTTTTTTATTATTATATTATCATTTTGTAGAGTTTATATAATAAAAGTTACTGGTGGTCTGAATTTCGGGCTTTGTACTGTAATTAATTGTCTTACACATTTTACTGTTAATCATTAGTTTAAAACTATATTTTTTTAAGATTACGGTGATAAATTTCTCAATTTATTTCAGTTACATAGCACAGAATAATGACCTTAAAGTTTTAAACATGGCAATGTGTAGTGGTCTCACTCCAGAAGGGCTTTATGAAATAAGCATATCTTGTGTGAAGTAAGTTTAAATTGAAATTCGTTATATGTTATGGAGTTATTAGCAATTAATTATATCATGATCTGTGAAGTAGTAAAATATTTTGAAAAACTGCCTGTTAGTTTATAAGATATTTCTCTTGCATTCGTAGCATGCCTTCGTGGTGTAGTGGTCAGCAAACTCGATGTGTATTTGAGAGGTCCTGTAGTTTGAGTTCCAGCTAGGGCATTGCTCATTTTTTACATCTTCTGCTTCCAGACTATCCTAATATGTCTACAGTAGCACCCAAACTAAAATAGGTGGTGGATGATGATTCTCTGCCACCAGGATTTGGCAATTGGGGTCCCCTAATCCCCAGTCGCCCATTAAAAATGAAAAGTATATGAGGTATTTCTCCCGCCTTCTTAGCATGCCTTCGTGGCATAGTGGTCAGCACATTTGGCACATATTCGAGAGGTTCAAGGTTCAAGTCCCGGTGAGGGCATTGCTCATTTTTCAAGTCTTCTGCTTCCAAACTATCCTAATGTCACCACAGGTTAAATGGTTTTTGTATTCTTATTTTTTATTTTTGTATAACAGATACTTGCTCAAAGGCACTCATTGAGCTTAGCAGAATTTATCAGTCATTTAGCCATCTCATCACCAAGAATGTTGTGGACCGATGCAGTATCCTGTAGGGAGGACTTACATGTTAACCAAGCCTTTGGTGGGAGTTGAACTCAACCCTTGATTTTGGGCTAGTAGTTATCTTCTACTAACCACTGTACTGTTTCCTGCAGCTTTTATAAAATACATCTTACTCTCCAAATTTTTAAAATGCATTTCCATTATTTAGTGAGTTTTATATATTCTGTATTTTTCTTAAAATTAATAACATAAGCTGAGGTATTGTTAATATGCTAACACTACTCTAAACATATGCTGCTGACTATTCAAAATGTAGAAAGCATCTAATTAGCCTTGAAATTTACCTTTATCTAAACTTTGCTAGGATAAGCAAATGATTAGCATTGTGACACATTAACAAATTATGTGTGCCAGTGATTCTAACTAGGAGCACTTTGAAAAGAAAGAACAGTACGTTGTTTTATGTACTTGAATCATTTCTTTTCCCAACTTTTCTTTGTGTTGGAAGCTTTAGTATGCCCCATTGAAAGAAGAGCAGCCATTCAAACAAGCTTCTGATTTAATAGAGGAAGAACTGTGGTTAAGAAAATTGCAGATTGCCTGCAAAATAAAATAAAATAAAAAAATAAGGTTAGTTTCAGTGAGACTGTTTTTTATCATTATACTTCTGGTAGGAAGGAATCTTCCATTAATGAGCAGTTAAGAAAACCTGGGAAATCCACCCAATGACAATTTTCTAAGACAATGTAGTTCCCAATGGGAACTTTTCTAGTTGAGTTAAATGCCAGACTTTCTGCATTGAAAAACATATCCAAACCTGGAAGATAGCTAATAATTATTGGACTTCAGCAACAACATTTGAAATGAAATAATAGTGAAATTATCCTTATTACAAAGGGTGACAGCATACCAGATGTTAAGTCACAAGTTTATTTATTTATTATTTTAAGTAATGAATTTGAAGCTACCACTGCAAAAGACTTTGTTAAATTGCTTCTTTATATATTTTATCCAATCTTAGAACACATTTTGCAGGTTGTTATGAACAGTCACATGGCAATAAAAGCATTATGAAAGAGTAAAATGACTGCAGATAAGCTTGCATTTCTTAAAAATCGAGAATTTGGTGCAATTTTAGAGGTGACAATTCTCTCATTTTGGGGTGGGGTAGGGTCTCCCATTTTCAATTATACTTTCGCCAGCCCGATTTACAACATACTTCTCCTGATTTTTTTTATTACTCCTAAGACTTCTGTTTTTAAGTTGCTTGGTATTTTTTATTATTTAAAAGTCATTTTTATTACTGAGGAAATTTTTCTGATTTATTTGAAAAACATTCAAATATTAGTGTTTGATAAGTTGGTACTTCTGGAATCTGGTTGCTTTATGAAATGGTGTGCTTAAATCTTCAGTGATTACACTGAATTTCTTTCTCATACAAATATTAGTTCGTTTGTTTTCTGCATCTATGAAATGCTGGCCAAATCTAATCAGTTAAGTATACTTGATATCGACATCATCCACAAAATCAGATGGAATGTGAGACTGAAAATATTAAAACAGTTAGTTGCAAACGTAAGATCATTATACATTCCTTAGATGAGATGGAAAAAAATGGAGCTTCATTTGTTTTATTAGCCACCTAATGAATAAATATAAAAATAATAAAAGATACACTACTTTTAAATTTTATTTGCATTTTGAGATCTGATGTAATACTTTTAAGTCAATCAAGCTAATAAAACTGGAAGGTACGCAGTTAGATTTTACAATGAAATTTTAAAATTCCACACTAGCCGTTACTAAATAGTTCCATATCAGTGATTTTAAAAAGCTAAAAAAGAAGCAGGAGAAATAGTTACATTATAGAGGGATTTTTTTTAGTTCAGAGTCTAATGTATTTGCACTGCTACTCTCCTAACATATAATATATCAAGAAGTATAAAGAAACCTTGCGCATAAAATATCCATATTTTATATAAAGATGCACTTCAAATGTTTTTCAGTTATTCTGTAAGATTGACTAATAAAATTGGTTGCTCGATCAAAATGGTGACATTTCTTTAAAACTTCATTATAGACATATAATATATATATATATATATATATATATATATATGTGGTAGTAATCGCTGGAATCGAAAAGTGAAACCAGTGTTTATTTCAAAGCAAAAAGAATACAGGACATGTGCATGTAAGTTGTTTATGAATACAGTGCCATTTTATATGAATATGTTTCATCTTATTATTGAATTCAACTAATAGTATGATATTCTAAGCTAGAGGTTTTAGATTAAAGCATCAAAATAATTAGCCTGATTAGAATATTTCTGCTTCTAAAATTTGAGCTCTTGTATAAGAGTGGCAAAGTTAATACATTAATATTATAATATTTCTATTCTGAAATTTGGGCTCTTGTATCAGAGTAGCAGATTTATTACATAATACAAGAAGATTTCCGTTTGAAATTTGAACTTTTGTATTAGAGTCCTAAATCAAGAATTTTGTTTTGTGAATCAAGTTAGAGGCTTGAAATTTTCTATTTAGTTTAGCATAATTCAGCAGAATAAGCAAACTTTACAGAGTTTATTGAACGGAAAGCACATATTTTTTTATTGTATTGAGTTTTTTTCTGTTTCAAAAAATGTCATTTCTTGCCAAGGGTAAGAAACAAGATTTAATAGAAGTAGCTGAAGAATTAGGTGAGGAAGTGCAACTAACTAGTAAGGTCTCGGAAATTAAAAAAAATAATCATTGAAAGTCAATTTCACAATGAGGAAGAAGTTAAATTAATTCTAAACTGAGTAACTGCTGATTGAGAATGTCTGGTTCTCGAAGGGAGAGAAGAAACCTGGCTTGGGGAGCAAGGGCATATGAATTAGAAACAGAGCTGTTTGGAAAAGGTTTAAAACTTCAAGAAAGTTATCAAAATGGAAACAACATGCAGCATTGTTATTACCATAGACATAATCCTAAAGAAATCTCTAAAGATTTTAATACTAAACCTGTAATTAAGACAGAATGTACTAATAAAATTCATGAAAGGGAATTCGAGAAACACAGACAACCTCGCTGTTATGAATGTGGATTCTACTCGCATCTTCAACATTGTGATAAACTCAGAAGAGTTTAGAAACTGTACTCTCAAATCAATTTTCCAAAAATAGTTTTAAGGATATTATGGCTCCATATACCAGCCTAGGTAAATTAAATGGCTATAAAATGCCCATATATACAGATACTGATGCAACTTTGCATTTAATTTACATTAGTTTGTACGGCCTCCTATGTATACCAGTGAAATCATGTGGATACGAACATCTCTTGAAGAACATCCAGTGTGCTTACCTTTGGCTGAGGTAGAGCTTGAATGTGATCTTGGCCATATAGTAACAACGGCTGCAGTCTTAAGAGATTAATTAGATTAACGGAGGTATCTTTTAGGTAATAAAACTGCTGTCTTTGCTGTTTTATTTGAAGAAGCAAAACAAGATGATGAAATTCAAGTTCATATGATAAATGCTGTACAGACTCAGCAACATCTAAAAGAAATGGAAAATCTAGTCTCAACAAATGAGTGAAATTCTGAAACTGAATTTAGTGACAAAGACACATGAACTGAAAATGAATATTTGCCTCCTGTGAAATATGAACGTTCTGAACTAGATCTGAGAAAGGCTTTTCCAGAAATATTTGTACAAGAACAGAAGGAGAGTGTTGAATTGAAGCCACTTTATGAAGAAGCTAAAATAAAATTTTGTAAAGATACAAAATATGTGGAAAGGTCAAATGCTCTTTTCAAAAAAGATCATGATGGAATACAAAGACTATTGATTGTTGTTCCTGAGAGATATCAGAAACAGTTGATAACTATTTGTCATGAAGAAACAACAGCCCATCTTTGTGCAACAAAGACCAAAGCTGTATTATTCAAAACTTTTTATTGGCTAAATTGTTGCAAAGATGTCGAGAATTTTGTTAAAAGTTGTGCCAGATTTCAAAGAATTGGAAAGCTGCAAGATAAAAAGAAAGTGCCTTTTAAAATTGTCCCTGTTATCACAGAAATATTTTCAAGAATAAATGTTGACGCTTATGGGCCTTTACCCATGACACCTTCAATAAATAAGTGTCTTATAACTGCAATCTGCATGTCTTCAAAACATCCTGATGCAGTTCCTGTCGTAAATCTTTGTTCAACCATGATTGTTGATGTTTTCCTTCAAATTTTTAGTCAAATAGGATTTCCAAAAGAGGTGCAGACCAACCAAGCCACATCTTTTATGAGTGCGCTGACATCGAATTTCCTAGAAGAATTCTAAATTAATGTCGTACGAAGTTCTGTTTACCACCCGCAACACAATCCTGTAGAGAGGATGCATAGAACTTTTAAAAGAATTCTTTAAGTCCTATGTCTAGAATCTTTTCTGGAATGGGATAAAATCTTACCTTGGGCTTTATTTTCTCATCGAGCCACTATTCACAACAGTACAGGTTTCTCGCCATCAGAATTAGTTCATGGCAGAAACTTAAGAACTCCAATTATGCTATCGTATAAAAATTATCTGATGAAGAAAACAAAGAAAATAGTGTAGTGGACTGTGTTTTTGAACTAATGAATCAAATGATGAGATGTCAAAAACTTGCCATCCAGCATATGGATGAAGCCAAAGAAAGGCAAAAAGTCTGGTGTGATCACAAAACCGTAGAGTGTAAATTTCAAGAAGGAGACTTGGTTCTAGTTGTGGCTCCTTCATAGCCAAATTATCAGTTAAGTGGGTAGGTCCTGGAAAAATAGCTCAACAGTTATCAGAGGCAAATTATGTAATTGAGTTTCCCGAGAAAAATAAACTCAGGTGTACCACATTAATATGTTGAAACTGTATTTTTAATGAGCAGAAAATATAAACTTGGTATGTTTAGAAGACAGGATAGACTATGAAGATGAAATACCGACTCTAAATTATAGCTCAGATACTGAAATGTCTGAAGTTTTCCAAACCATCCAGTTGAATTCACAATTATCTGAAGATCAATAAAAAGCTTTAAAACAGTTGATATACAAGTATTCCTGTATTATCTGTAATGAACCAGGATGTACTGACCTTACTGAACTGAAAGCAGACAGACCAATATGTACAAAACCTTATCGGATGTCTGCCAGACAAACCAATATTTTAAAAACTAAGTAAGAAGTAGGAAAAATGATAAAATTCAAAGTAATAGAACGAGGTCAATCGAATTTCACCTTTCCACTCATACTGGTTGAAGTTTCTAGAAAAGAGGCAAGAACATGCATTGATTACAAGGTAACTAGGGCACAATATTTTCCCTTGCCAAGCATTGAATATTTAGTAGAAGAAGTATCATCTGCCAGCTATGTAACTGTTCTAGATCTTACTCAAGGTTACTTGCAGATTCCACTAACTAAAACAGCCGATATTCCACTAAAACAGCCCAGCGTTACACTGCTTTTGTGACAAGTTTTGGCACATTTAAACCCTTAAGGTTACCATTTGGGCTGAAAAATACACTGTATGATTTTAGACATTTGATGGTAGGATTATTAAGAAACTGTGAAGAGTTCTACTGTACCCTATATTGACAATGTCGCAGTATTCTCGCAAACCTGGGAAGAACATTTGAAGCACCTAGAAATTATTTTGGAGAAGATGAAAATTGCTAAACTGCATATTAAGCCTTCAAAAAGTCAATTTGCTCATACAACTGTCTTAAGTCATGTAGTAGGACAAGGTCAAAGAAAACCAGGAGATGTAAAAATCAAAGCCATAAAGCACTTCCCTAAACCTATCACAAAAACACAGGTATGATCATTTTTAGGACTTATGGGATTTTATCGAAAGTATATTTCTGAATTTTCTGTGATTTCTGCACTACTGACAAATTTTTTAAAAGGAAAACGTTGCAAATCAACAATAAATTGGACTGATGAAACCCAAAATGCTTTTGATGAACTCAAGAAACAGTTAACAGAAAATTCACTGTTGTGCAGTCCGAACATTTCTCAGCCATTTATCGTTCAGTGCGACGCTTTGAATATTGCTTTTGGCATTGTATTATCACAGACAAATGCTATAGGTGAAGATCATCCAATAGTATTTCTTAATTTATCAAAGTTTTCACCTACTGAACAGAAGTACAGTACAATCTAAAGGGAGTATACCGCCATTGTCTTTGTTGTACAAAAGTTAAAATTCTACCTAGATGCACCTCGTAAGTTCATCATTCAGACTGATCATAATCCTTTAATGTGGTTGGATAAAAATGCTGGGACTAATCCTAGACAATGGACTTGGATCTTACAACCTTTTAAATAAAAAGTTGTGCATAGAAAGGGGAAGCACCATCAAAATGTTGACAGTTTAAGTTGTGGTATCCAGACATCTCACAATTAAAAATATATATTCTAGGATGTTTAAAACTTCATTGTTTAAATATTTCTAATGTTGGAATATTAAATTTTATGTGTTTAATTTAAAATGTTTTTTTTGAAAAGCACTTGTACTCATTTGGTCTGGTATCTAATTGTATTTGTTAACAGGTATGCTTGACCACTTTTGTCTTGTAAACATATTTACTGTATTTAAACTGGAAATTTGTCTTGAAAGTTCCATAAAACTGAAAGAAAAACTTTTCTTTGCAAAGTTCCCTGTGAGGGAAGGAGTTAAAGACTAATGTATTTGCACTGAAACACTACCAACATATTATACCAGAGAGAAATGTGAGGAACCTCACATGTAAAATATCCATGCTTGAAGATGCACATGCTTAAAATGTTTTTCAGTTATTCTGTAAGATTGACTAGTAAAGTTGGTTGTTCAATCAAAATGGCGAGATTTATTTAAAAATTTCATTACAAGAGATACCGTATACATGACATGCAAGACTATGAAGAACCAGATTTCTTATGATATAGGAGATGGGCCCATTTTAGGTGAAGAAAATGACCTATGAATAAATTCCTTTAGACGTTATGCTATTACGTCACTGAAAGAAAGATCTGAACAATTTAGTGACTATATGGTGTGTTCAGTGTTATTTGTGATATTAAGAATTTGACACACACACACATACCAAAATGGGGACTTTCAATAGCAGTTGGAACTTATTAGTTGCTTGCCCATATTTAGGTGGAGGAGTATGTTATTCAAAATTTTATGGCACTAGGTACCGTTGTTTTATCACAATACGACAAACATACATACAGATTCTTCATTATTTAATTTCTTTAAATATAATAAAATATTAACAGTATTTCAGTGTATCCTTGAAAAAACATTTTCCTAAATGTGTTAGTTGCATTGCAAATCTGTTTGTGCATGCTTGTGTATCTAGCCTCAGCACATTGCAAGTTTTTCAGACTAAGGGTGATACAAAGCCTTGCTTTGTATCAATTCAATGAATTTGATGTTCAATGAATTCAATGAATGAGTGGTAAGAATAACTTTCTAAGACAGTAAAGGAAAGGATATTTCATGTTTATAGTATGCAGAGAAATTAGGGAATGCATTTGTTAAAATGTTTACTACCTAAGAAATAAGAAGATTTAAGCTAATAATTTAGAAAAAAAAAGCTTATATAACGAAGAAGATCTGCAAGATATCTTGCAACATATGAAGATACCTATTTGAACTCTTGCAAAATAAACAAAAGTTACATACGTTGAAGTGTACACAACTGTTGGAGTGAAACTGCACTAACATGTAATTGGGAATAGTTCATAATGTGCAAGATGTTTTAAATTCATTTAATTGTAATACTGTGCATTTTAATTAATATTGAAATAATAATTGGTGTTTTTTACAGTTTTTAAATACTTCTGTAATCTCTTTGGCCTAGAAAAATTACATCACTTTTAAATTTATTGATGTACAATAATAATTATTTAAATGAACATAACCTTAGTTTTCAAAAGGAAATCATTTGTAGTCTTTAATTTTTTAATGTTCTGAACATGCCACAGAAAATAAGAAATTTAAAAATGACCCATGAATAGAATTTAATGAGAATTTCATGTATCTGCCCACATCAGCACTGTTTTAGGAAGGAACTTGAAAACTTTTTAAACCAGCTTTGCAAATAATCATGGATGACTTTTCTCGTAGCATACAATTTAGGGCTTGATATTTTAAGTTTAAACACATTTCCACTAGATAACGGGTGGAAATCTTGTTGTTGTTTAGGTTTTTAAATACATTCTGTGTGAAATTTTTAAAATCATTTAAGTAGTTGGAAAGAAATTTTATCAGTTTTAAAATTAGTAAATGTATTGTTCAAAAATGTTCAAATGAATAAGTCCATATAGCTTTATTGACTACCTTTCATAAATGCTAAAATTTGATATAATATGCAGTAAGTTTTGTGTGAATGTTAATATTTTATGTTCCAGGTTAAGGGAATGGAATTTGGCATGGACTAACCTTGGTAGCATGTATTTTGGTGCTTTTGTAGATTTTATTCCTAAGTCATTGACGAGGCTTAACTTAAGTGGACAGAGAGAATCATTATTTGATCAAGGTAAGATATTGATATTCAAGAGACTTTTATTCAAAATATATAGTCACATATTAATTTGATCTTTTGTTTTTCCCTTATTAAATATGTTGTTATTCTTTTCCTCTATATTTTCATTATTTTAGTTTTATTTATTTATTTAGCTCTGATTGCTGTCATAAAACGATGTTCAGATTTAATAGAGCTTGATATTAGTGACTGCCTGATGTTAAGTCGTGTTTCATTTGAAGAACTGATAAAAAATTGCCCTAAATTAGAGCATTTGCATATGAGTCGTGCTAGCAACATTCCTACAGAATGCCTTAAGTAAGTTAATTTTTTTTTGTTACTGCAGACTTTTTTTACATTTAATTCAATTGTTACAAAATATCTGCGTTTCTTTTGATTATTTACAAGTAACTCTGATTAAAATTTGGGATGCTACATATTACCTGCTTACTATGAAGAGAAAATGAATAATCATAATTCTATGTGGAGGATTCAGTAAAATTGTTTGTAGTAAGACTTGTATATAAATATTTACATATAATGAATAGTGTTTTTGAAAGATAATCAAAAAAGTGTTTTTTCAGACTAAAAGCTGTTGATATTCAGTTTTTTTTAGGGGGGAATACCCATTCTGCCATTTGATAAGAGAACAAGACTATTTTGAGGAATAAGGCAACATATACAAAGTAAAAAGAAATTTCATGACTCTATAAAAGTTGATTACGGTGATCAAGTACTATATGCAGTGATTATAGAATGCTGTTTACATAAGTGATTTTCTCCTTTCTGTTCAAGCATTTTAGAGCGTAACTTTTACAGACATAAAGGATAAATACCAGTAACTAAGTATAAACTGTAAATATTATAAATCCTTGCCTAAGGTAATGTAAGGTTTACATCTTTGATACATTGCCTCACACAGCAAAATCATGTTTTGCTTTACTGGAATATAGAAAAAATGGTTAAGTATACTTCAGACTAAGAATGTATGTATCATTTATACAAACCTCAATATTTTTGTAATTAAAAGGGAAAATGAAACATTTAAATTGAAAGGATTTCTGTTACTGCTTAATAAGTAGGTACATGACACAATTATTTTTTAAACAGCTGGTGATTTTTGTTGCTTTCACCCTCTGCTAGTGTTATAGGATCATTTAGTTCTTCATTTGTCATTTGATGGTTCATTTGATTCTCAACTAATTATTTGATTTCTCCTTCTTCTATGTCTAAAAATCCTTCTCTGCCTGGTGCTTTTGCAATTTGTACAATTTCCTTGGCTTCATTTTCAGTCGATGGATATCCTTTAAAACTGTTAATAACTTTCGGCCAGAACTGATGCCAGCAAGTATTCATTGTTGATGAACTCACTTGTTCCCACATGAGTTTAATCATTTCTATGCAGTATCATATCTTGAACTGCTTCCAGAACGCCATTAGGGTTTTATACTTTCCTTCATGTAGTGCTTTATTTACAGAGATGGAAACACCCCTGACATAATAGGCTTTGAATATTTTTATGATTCTTTGGTCCATTAGTTGGATTAAGAAAGTGGTGTTCGGTAGAAGGAATTGAACATTTGGATGCAGTGTTACAAGGGCTTCAGCACTGTGTCTTGAAACATTATCCAGAATTAGGAGAACTTTAAAGCTCAGGTTTTGCTGTTCTAAGCAATGTTTGACTTCTTTAATAAAGGAATTTTTAAACCATGCAATAAAGAGGACTTTTGCAATGTGGCCATAGCTCTGCAGTGTACCGCATATTATTAAAATTAAATCCTTGGACAAACTGAATGAAGACAACTAAGATGGATAATACATATATGCAAAATTGCGTTCCGCAAGTCCGCATTGGGCAAGAGTTTACTGTATTAATAATATTAAATCTTCTATGTATAATGAGTGATTCCTATTGCTAAATTTTAATTATTAAAATGACAGCCGAATACCCCTTGGAAAAATATTCAGGTGGGCAACCACAATGGTAGTCCCAGAAATGGTGACAGAAAATATCCTGAGGTTTTTTACTTCAGAACAGGTACTTCAAGGCCATTTTTTCCTTCTGGATTACCTAAAACCATGGTAACAACCATTGCAGAAGGTGACTGAGACCTCTTGACTTGCTAAAATCTCTTTATGGCGAAAATGACTCTCATTACAATTACAAATGAAGGAAGGGTCAGTGTGTGACCTTAAAAGTGTGTATTTTTAGGTAATATATAATAATGCAGCACCCAATATTTAAGTGCTTAAACAACATGCATAGTTTTTTTTTTTTTTTCTTTCTTTCAAAATTAAATTGTAATCTTTTGTGCCTTTATTAGTATTATAAAATTATCTAAATAGAATATTTTTCTTTTCATTTTTTTAGGTTATTGAAAGGTATGAAAAATTTCAAAAATTTAGAAATCTTCAAAACATTGCCTGAGGAATCACTTGCTTCATTACGTGAATACTTACCCAATGTCAAAGTAAATGACAATCTGTTTTCAACTATTGCCAGACCAACAGTTGGTATACGAAGAACTAGCATCTGGGGATTCAGAGTTCGAGACTGAGGTCTCCCTCTATGGAAGTGGTGAGAAATGAATTTCACATTCATATAAATATAACTATGACTATATATTTAACAAAATATATTGGATACTTTGTTTAATTTAACTATATACATATATATGTAACTGAACTTCAGAAAAGGGACATAATTAGGATTATTTGGGTTATTGCAGGGTTCTTATGGTCCTTAAGAGTCCTTGGATTTTTGGTCCTTAAAAGTCCTTAATTTTGGCCAAAATCAGCAGAAGGTCCTTAATTTTAATCATCTGAAATTTCTGTCTGTTTATACGACTGCCATTTTGAGTGTGAATTAGCATTTTGGAGGAATATTTTTGGCGATTCACTGACATATATGTTATCTTTTGAATGGGTTCATGAGTTATAATTTGTTTCTATTTCTAATATAAATGATGGGATACTTGAGTTTCTAAGCAAGAAGTGAAACATAAGCATTTCAAGATTCATTTTTCCAATAAAGAGCTAAACAACTTTTCGCTTTGGGGATTTTGGCGATTTTAAGATAAGTTTCTATAGAAAATTTTTAATTCCGAGATCTGAATATTTTTCCACCATTTTTTTTAAAACATTGTAACATTGATAAATTTCATTAAAATAATGGTAATAATAATTATATTTAAAAAATAACATTAAAATAAAACATTTTGATTTTTTGCTGTCATATTAGAAAGTTTCATTTTGGCAACTTATTACACAATATTTTGAATCTGAAAAATAAACAAGGTATAATGCTATAAAGCACAATTTACGAAACAGCTCTTAGCAAAAACAAAATTAGCTATGCATTTAATTAAAAATGTCTTCCCTTTAAATTTTTTTATAGTAAGAGTTTTTCTCGTGTAATTAATTGTCTTAGAATATTAAAAATTCTCAGAATATGCATGAGTTTTCTCTATAAAATTAATTTTACACTTTTTCCCTCCCTTTTTTTTCCAAAATATTTATGGCTTTTTGCTGTTACAGAATTGGTAGGAATAATTTTTCTTTAGGATTTTAGACATTGCAGCTTGGAAAGTGTAGAAGGACTTGAAAGCATGATTTATAGACTCACAATTCTAGAAGATTCAAGAACTATGTGACAAAATGAAAAATGTTTCCATGGTATCAACACGTAATGGACGCATTTTACAGAAAGTTTGCGATGAATTTCTTATGTTTTGGAGTATGTCTGGAAGAACAATGAAAACATAATATTTGAATGTTTTACTTCTGATACTAGAATCTTTTTCTTAATATATTTATCTTCCCTTTATTTTCTCTACTTTTCACTAGATACAAGCATGGAAAATATCAAATCTTATCACATGGGCAGGCATTAATAGAAAGGAGCTTTTTTATTAATAAAGAAATTGAAAACTTACAATTTAAAAGGTTCATCTAATATGATAGAGTTGCTGAGCCAGATTAAATTAAAATTAAATTGTATAATCTTTGACCATTAGTCCACATTTTTAGTTTGAATTTGACCGTTCTTGTTTAATTACGTCACCGTGAGCTGTAAATGATTTTGTTAGCATCAGAACATGTCTTTATGTTCTAAGTTCTTTTTAATTAAGAGGCTTATTTAAACCTTTGTCTGATACTGTAGTTACTTTTAGACATAGCAATAATTTGTTTCACATATGCCGGGGGGTTTTGGACTATTTAACTTTTACCAGATCAAGTAAACCCTCATAGGTACATTGTGGAGAGGTTGGCAAGTTAGGAGATAAAGCACGCGGAAACTAGTGTGAGCACTGGTTTGCATATTGAGAAATCTCTAATTGTTAGAAAAGATGCTTAAAGAGAAGGAAATCTATATAAACTAACCAAAATGATTGGGAAGGCTTCAAATTAATAAATAATGACAGATAAATATTTTGTTGAGTGTTGTTGTTACTAAACATAAATGGTTTGTAGCTTTTAAGGCTTTAATTATCCTAATATCGTTTAAGAATCAGTGTCATAAATTACATGTATTTTAAATTATGAATTTTATTAGATTTTAATTTTAATAGGACTTTTTCAACAAATATTGTTAAAAAATAAAATTTAATAGTGGCCATGTAAATCCATAATGACTAAGGTTATCTAACTACCTAATTTAATTATTTATACTAACTGCTTACCCTTAAAAATTATCTCTACATATTAAAGCGAGTTATTTTCTTTCATTAATACTCACTGTGGTCACAGGATAAAACACAAAAATGTAAAAATTGAACTTTGTACAAAACTTATTCTTTGCATCTAGTGAGACTTAAAATAATACAAAACAATTTATCACCTCTCTAATGCTTTAATGGCTTATTGGAACCTTAAAGTATACTAATTGGGTTACGACCCCTGGACTTCTACACGAAGCTGTGACACTAACTGCATCAAACAGAGCCTGACTAATTTTCAACAGTTGCCAACCATGCCTAAATCAGGCCTTTCAGGTTTGTTCTGTTCAGCAGGTCTCTCTCTAGACAAGCAGCAGCGGTAGCAACTTTCAGTCTTTTGCTTCGAAAAGAGTGCTGAAACGAGCATTGCTGGGAAGCACGTAAAAGAGTAAGAGATTTTGCATATTCAGCATTACCCAGAAAACTCTGCTACTCCACCCTAACCCCCCTAAGCTCCATTGTTTGGTATATGATGATTACATGCTTATGAATGGGGGAAAAAAGTAACTTAGGTATATAATATTTACACTTTAGTCTATTTTTTTTTTATCATGGTCCTTTTCGAAGAAAGTGACACCACCTTTGAAAAAGTACAACCCAATATTGCATGTTTTCCACATATCCTGGGATCCGTATCAGATTCACTATCTGAAAGCAATTCATGTAGCATTTGAACTGCTTTAGAAATGGTCATCCCTCTCCGATCCATTTGGAAAATAATTAAAAATCTGAATTGTAAACCATAAAATAAAAATATAAATGTCTACAGCTCAAACCTATTAAATGTAGCGCTAAGAAAACTTCTTTGAACCAAAACGAAAGAGAAAAAGAGAACTGTTCTAGTGAAAAACCAAACAGTTATCCCTGACAAACTGATAAAATTATCCCTGACCTTCAGAAAATCACCCCAACAATTTCTTAGTTGATAACCAAACCTCCCCTCCAAAAAGAGGGAGGGAAAGAAGAAAGAGAAAAACAGGAAAATGAAACACAGATGTGGACCCACCTTTCTATGTTAATGAGCTGCAGAAAAACAAAGATACAGCTGCCTCTCAGTGATCTGGACTCGCAGTGAACCCAGTCTGGGAATGCCTCGGTTCGCCAGTCGATTTTAGTCAAGATTTCAAGGCAAAAATTTAAAACTAATATAGAATAAGGAGATTAGCATACAGCCAAAAAATAACAGAGAAATTTCCTTTCAAACAATTCCTTTTATACCCTAAACAAAATCTGGAAGATTTCTTTGAAAAATGAGGGTCTTAAAAAACTAAACATGGCTAAAATATATGGACTGGTTTGTGTTGAGCTGCCATCTAAGTAAAGAAGATTCAGAGTAACCTATAGTAATTTTAAAATCCTTTTTCATTCAATTTTTCTGTGTGTACAGAAGGAAATTTTTAGGTGTGCCCAGACCAAGCACACTGTGCCCAAAGGGATAAGATTAAAATATTTAATACTACTTGATAAATTGCATAAAGTTTATTTTATTCTCAAACTTATTTATAATTATGCTAATTAATTCATGTTTAGTAATAATGCTTACTACTTAGGGATCTATTTTATTTTTAGGATGGTATTGCAAAAGTGAAAAGGCATAGATATTTTTAATTGAATTTATTCAGTTTCCATTTGCTCATAGGTCCTTAATTTTTTTCATTAATGGTCCTTAAAAGTATTTAATTTCTGTGTGCAGGAATGTGTACGAACCCTGGTTATGGGAAAGCACATTAGGCTTATCTGTTTATGGGTAGAGATTCCTTCATTGAAGACTTTCTATGGAAATAGATTCAGATAGCCTTACATTGTGCAAAGTGATAAATTCAGATGAGAATCACCACCAGAACATGAATATGAAATAATTTATAACATAAATTTTCATATTACCATTTGGCCTCACTTTAATTTTTTTCAGTATTCTGCCAGATAATGATTTAAGGGGAAAAAACTATCACGTTAAATATTCGATGATATTAATAATTTCAAATAGAATATCAAATTTATGTTCAAAAGTTTAAGTAAAAATATAGTTTTGAGATACAATTCTCAAGTTTTTTTTATTTCCAGAGTTGCCAACTCTCCCAATTTACGTAGAAAATTTCCGATTTCTGACCATACTCTCACCAACCCAATTTACAACATATTTCACCTGACTTTCTCTTATTCTTAAAATTTCAAACAATTTTTATGTAGCTTGGCTTAATACTTCATTATTTGCATCCAAAAAAAGTGATTTGGAGCATCTGAAAGTGCATGGTTTTTCTCTAGATTACATATAAAGAAAACAAATTCATTTCATCAGTGAGCCATTATGGCGCCCTTCTGCTTTGCAAGTGAGAGCAAATGTATCCGAAAACACTGTATTCCATTTCTCCAATAAGCATCAAATGCTGCCATCTGCCATATATTAGCCATTAAGAACAAAACAAGATCAAGGTTGTTATTTCGTTCATCTCACCGCTGATCGCTGTCAGTTTCACATTCGTTCAAGAAATATGTAAAGAAATTGCAATTCTGGAAAAAAGGGGGGGATTATTCATGCATACTGCACAAAAAAGGAGACAGTTCTAGAACTCCCATTCTACTGGGCCGATTCACAAAATTCAAATTGCGTTTTCAAAAGCACGACTTAAGATATATATTAGATTTATATACAGCATTGTTCTTTCTAAGATAGGTATTGTGACACAAAACCAGACTTTTTCTGAAATAATATACTTTCTTTTTTCAATATTTCGATTCTAATACTCCATTTATGCCTAGATATTAAATTTTGTAATTTCGGGTGGGAAATTTATGGAGAAATTAAAAAAGTTATTGTGACGCATTTTTATCAGTTTGTGCCAAGAATAATCCACTTAGCAAACTTATTAATTTATAGCAAATGTATTTTCCTTTCCTTTCTTTCAATGTACACAAGCGGAAAGAAAATCTTCTTTCATATTTTCAAGTAATTTTAACAAAATGCGTAAACCACATTTGGTGTTATTACCGCTTATATCATATATGCCAAATTTCAAAACATGCCAAAATGTAAATTCAAGTATATCTTAGAAAATTTTGAATAAAAAACTAATTTTTTCAGGTATGCTTAGAAATACATCTAAGATGATGTTAAAAATTTTATAGGTTATAATACAAAAATTGTTTCAAAAAATTGATAAAAAATATTTAAAAATACAAATATTTGAAATAAATTGTAAAAAATGTACAAATTATATTTGGATTAAGCCTAAATTTTGAATTCTGGAAGAAAGAATCAAGTAAATTTAATTTAAAAAAAAAGAGATGTTAATAAATATATATCAAATTCAATTAATATCGAGGTGCTAAAATTTTGAGAGCAAATTTTTTCAAAACTACTCGTGCGATTTTTTTTAAAACTTGGCAGTATGACATAGTTGAGTCTTAGAATCGAAATATGGGGGAGGGGGGGAGAGGAATTGGCATGTCATTTTCAGAGGAATTCCAATTTTGTGTCAAAATACCTAGTACAATGCAATATATATAAAATCAAATACATATCTTAAGTTGCACTCTCGAGACATGAAAAACGCAAGTTGAATTTCGTCAATCGGCCTAGTAGGGAATGGGAGATATAGAACTGTCTTCCCTCCACCCCCGAAGTGTACCTTTCAAAAATCATACACAGATGACTTTAGTTGTATTTTGTCATTAATTGGTTAAAGTTAATTCATTGTGAAAAAATATTTTTTCCATGTATTTATTTTTATAATTAAAAAGTTCTTTTGTCATTGAGAAAATTCTCCTGAATTTTGACTGTCATAGGCTGGCAAATATACTTTTCTTTTCTGTTTTTTTGCTGCGTACATCTTATCTATATTGTTGGTAAAAAAGACATGTTTAAATTTCTGAAAAATAGTTTAAATCCTGCTTTAAAACGTTTTTAGTGGTAACCTCCTACATTTAAATCAAAAAAAAGGGGGGGGAGAAAACTATTAATAAATTAAAAAATATACATATAAAATAATGATATATTTTCCCTTTTACTGAATATTATGTGATTCCTTTAACCCTTTGACTACAAATTTAAAAAAAGAAATTTTTACCCCTTTTTCTGTCCAAGTGAACAAAATGTCATAAATAAGGTAAATTTAGCATTTATTTTTTTTTGGGGGGGAACAAATGATTTTCAACATTATACATTGAGGAACTCATGTTTGTTCTTTCTCTTTCTTACAAATGAACAACGACTTTTGTGTACAACGACCACAACGGCGTCTTCATTTCCAGCTATTGGAAGATGATTCCCAACATTCAGGAGATTCTCAATACTTTTAATTCCAGCAGTAATTTTTAAACTTTTAGTGGGACATATATGTCCTGTTAGCAGTCAAAAGGATAGTAATAATGATGTTACCATAGATTTTTTGAAACTTTTCAGTAAAATAATATTTTGTTGTACAATGTTTTAAGCAATATGGATACATCTTGTACTGTTATAATGATTTATTTTGTCACTTACTAAATTGTGTTGCAATAATTTTCAGCAGTTTTTCATGTAACATTTTAATTCAAGAACTATATTTATATTGTATTTTTGTTTAATACCGAAAAGAGCAATGTTTTATGTTAAATTGCTTCTAAAACGCCGTTAATGTGACTGCTTTTCTTTGGAAAATTTGGGAAATTCATAGAACTAAAAGTGTTTTCTTCTTTATGTTGATGGCTATCATCATAATCTTCATGGTAATGCTTTCATTTAACCATGTTTGTACGAGGTGTATTCGGAAACTAAGTACTGTTTTGAAAAAAAAAAATAGTAAAACAATTTTTTTGAATCCAATTTTATTTTTACATAAAAATACATGTCTTATACTATTTTTCAACATAGTTTCTGCCAATGATCAAACACTTGTCATAGCGGGTGACCAGTTTTTGTATACCATCGTCAAAGAAACTTCTCGCCAGTTTCGATAACCACGACTCTACAGCATTTTTCATGTCATCGTCAGAACCAAAGCACTTGCAACCAAGCTCACGCTTCATGTGCAGGAACAAGTGATAGTCGGACAGCGCCAAGTCCGGGCTGTACGGCAGGTGATCGAACTGCTCCCAATGAAACTGTCGAATTAACGATTGAGTGACACCAGCAGTATGGGGCCGAGCATTGTCATGGAGCAACACGATTCCTTTACTGAGCATTCTTCTTCCTTTGTTTTGAATGGCACGCCTTAGTTTTGTTAAAGTCTCACAATATCATGCCGTATTAATGTTTTCACAGCTGGGAAGAAATTCAGTAAGCAAAATGCCTTTCCTATCCCAGAAGACAGTGCACATGATTTATTGTGATGACATTGTCACTTTGAACTTTTGTTTTTTCGGAGAATGAGTGTGTCTCCACTCCATCGATTGTTGTTTTGATTCTGGTGTGAAATGACACACCCAAGTTTCATCACCTGTCACAATTTGGTTTAAAAAGTTTTCTCTCTCATCACTGTACCGTGTGAGAAATGTCAGGGCACTACCAAGTCGCTTTGTTTTGTGAACATCAGTGAGCATTTTTGAACCCATCGGGAACACAGTTTGCAATAATTCAAGCAATCAGACACAATTTCAAACAAAACAGTACGTGAAATTTGTGGAAATGCCTCTGAAAGAGTTATCATTGTGAAGCGTCTGTTCTCATGAATTGCTTCATCAACTTTCCTTACCAAATCATCGGTGACAACAGAAGGCCGACCACTCCGAGCCTCGGCGTGGACATTTGTTCGACCTGCATTAAACATTCTTACCCACTTTCTCACCATTCCATCACTTATCGCGCATTCACCGTAAACTTCTGTCACTTGACGATAAATTTCGGCCAGTTTAACATTCCTCGCGTTCAAAAATTTAATCACAGCACGAATCTCACAGTCAGCGAGAGAACTAATTGTCTTAAACATTTTGAATGTGCACAGCAAACTGAAAACACAACATAGAGCAACCAAAATGGCGACAGTTGAAAGTCAGTGAACAAGAAAGACTAGTGCGCATGCGCGGGACGCCTACCACAGTGCTGCGACGGCGCTAGAATGAAACGGTACTTAGTTTCCGAATACGCTACATATTATTCTGCTGATATGCTCATTGTGTTTTTTAATTCATATACAATTTAATGTATAATATATATTTGCATAATTATATGTGAAGTAAAATGCATTGTTTTGATTAATGTACTCATAAAATTTTCTTTTCTTTCAGGCAATAATACTATTTGCTCATGATTTCAAATGCAAATTATATAATTATTGTGAAGGATACTGTCATACTTGTTCACAATCATTATGTTTAATAACTGCCATTTTTACTGTGATAGCATTTCATGCTACCTGTTTATTCTCAAGTCACTCCTTTTGCTGCTTCTGTGTTTAAATGGAAGATATTCAGAATTTTTTGTTAGATGAACCAGAAGTTTTTCTCAAACTTCCTGTTGATGATTTTAAGTTATATTTTAATTAATCTTCATGCATAAGAATGAAAGATTGTGTGTGTTATTTAATATGTATGAATGTACAGAATACTTCAGCAGGCTTATATATTCTTTTCTACTTACATTTGCTAATATTTTTTTCACTTTCATGTCTAACGAAGTAAAGTGTACATTACTACACTCAGAAGTATAAGAATATTTTTGATAGTACTGATAAGAATGTTAGAGATATGGCCATACTATGTGTTATTTATATTTTGTTTGAAATATGTTGTAACATTTTATCCTATTCTGTTATATCATAATACATATCATGTTCCAGGAAGAGCTTTATGTAAATGTGCCTTAAGTGTTCAGATGATCACACTTGCAAGCATTTTTATTAAATATGTTGACACTGCCATTTATATTACATATTGACAAATGCTCTGTTTTGCGTAAATCAAATAACTATTTACTCAGTAGAAAAATAGATGGATTTGTAATTTTTTATATGAACTTCTATTTAAATGTGTTGTTTCTATATAACAATATAGTCTAATTCCTATATTTGTTATTTTGATAAAAAAAAAAAAAAAAAAGGTCTGGAGGTATTTTTTCTCCTCCAAAATGTAAGTAAAAAGAATGAATGAATTTCGTTCTTTAAATTCAGACTAAGGAAAGGTCAAATGCATGAGTTTAGGAATAATAAGTAATTTACCATGAAAGGAGTAAAATGTTAGTTTTGCAGTTAAGTTTGTTATTTTCACCTTACATGAATTTTCTTTTTTAAATGGCATCTGCTCTACATTTTTAAGCAAGTTTAAAAAAGCATAATTTTGAATTTATTTTTGTAACATGAAAGATAATTTTTTTGCATAAAAACAATTTGAGAAGTAAGTTAAAAGTATTTTGGCAAAAATATATTTAAGGGTGACCGTTGGTGATGTTTGGCGGTACATGGACACCGAGTTTGTGCAATTCTTTGACTTGTTATTTTAACTTTGTGTAGCAATGACGTTTGTGCCAGAAAACGCCTTTACACAAACCCAAAATAACAAGTTAAAGAATTGTACAAACTCGGTATCCATGTATACATCAACCTATTTTCACTTTAAAAAGCATCACAGAATTGCACAAATTAGACATTATGAAATCCCTTGACTTTGTCCATGTACATATAGATTTATATTCACTTAAAAAGTCAAAGGAGCAGCGAACAAAAAATACATAATCTCAATAAACTACATTTTAAATCAAACAATGAAGTAACATAAAAAAGGAAATTTATCTTAGCACTACACAGAGGAAATATCCACTTACCTCATTTACAAATTTCCCCGTCTTCAGTCAAACAAAATTCCTTAACAGCATCCGAAAGCTTCCTAAAATTATACAAACTAGAATCTGTATACTGGGGTTGCCACATAAATTCACAAAAATAAGAGTAAAGAATAAATATCCTCCATAGTGCAGGTATTTTCCGACATTCAACCATATGCATTTCCTTCCTACAAACAGGACACTTATAATGACCTTCATTTACACACTAGTCAGTTCATGCTTTTTTCCCTTTCTTTCAAAATTGTACAGAAACTTCAAATTAATATACAACATTCAGCCATTTTACTGTGTAAACCACAAAATAACGACGTACCTTCCCATCATTAAAATTCACCACAAAATCCTTCCCATCATTAAAATTCACCGCTATCATGCAACCAATTACATCATAATAGGGTTTCCATAGCATTCAAAACTACACAGGTTACCATAAATGAAACAACAACTTGGCAATAAATGAAACAACTTAGCGATAATCCAAGGAGCACCATTCAATCTACTCTACCAATATTTCTTTTAGCAATATAACATAAAACTTTTGCAAAGAACATAGATTGCAGTTCAGCCCAGAGTATGTTTGTTTACCACCAGCGGCAGCAAAACTCAAGTGCAAAATTTGGAAAAAAAAGGAAAGTTCATCTGATCAGTCCAACCTCAAAATGAGGGAAGAAAGTTACATAATTTTTTTTTGTGTGTGTGTGTATTTTATAAAATAATGTTTTGTGTAACATTATTTGGAGATATTTTATTGATGCGTGAAATTATCTTTCTTTTAGGTTAAATAAATATGTAATTTCATCATAGTTATTAACTTAAATTCATATGCTGCAGTTGGATTTCAATTGGTTTGATTAACTCTGCTCACTTCACGTTGGTTTTGTTTTCCTCAACTGATAATTTAAAAAAAAATAAAAAAAAAAAAATTGTGCAGATATCCTAAATATATATGAATTATTTTATTTTTACTTTTTGGAAAATGCCATTGCTGTTCTTTATGTAAAATGCCTGATTTTTCTTTTGATCAACATATTGCATTATTTGATTGATTTTAAAGATGGTAAATAAAATGAATGCATTCCAGTATGTTAATTTTCATAGTCAGATTTTTATTCAAGGGTGATTTTGTAACTTTTTTTTATGAGGGAATTGGGTGAGAATAAGACTATCAATTATTTTTACTGCATGCTTTACTCTTTAATAATTACATTTCCTATTTTTAATTTTTGGGTTTTATGTACTTTTTTCATTAAGTATGCCTGTTATTTTGCATTAATGCAATTATATGAATAAAATGTTTTGTAGTGTACTTTGTGTAGTTTTCTAGTCAGTAACATTACATAATGGGTATTCATTTATGAAATAAATTCTTCTGCGTATTACCCTAGAATTTATACCAAAACAAAGGGTGGAAGCAAAGCAAAAACGAGTGTAGTGCCAAAGAAATAGTAAAGAAACATGACACACAAGATTTGAGATTACATTTTAATGTATACAACCCAAGTGTAATCTCAGATCTTCTGGTCAGGTCTAGAAAATTATCATAAATTCAAAACATGGCGTTTTCATTGCATAATAAGAAACATCCCCAAACACTTATATTAAACTGAAACTGAGTTATATTATAGTCATCTGAAAATTGCCACTTAATTTTTTTTTACTTTTGATCACAAATCTTGGTCTAGAACCGAAACCACTTGTCAACGCCAGGAAACATTCTTGCTTCTAAATTCCAAAAGCTCAAACCCCAGCCATCTACTCTCATTCTGTCTGTTAATCTTCCCACTGTAAGAACTAATTGCTAATACCTCTAATGTTAATATTTTGGAGGATCAGATGAAAGTATTAAGATAACTTTAACCTTCCGAAAACCTCTAAGCCTTCAGCTTGTCGAGCCATTTCATTTCTTTCAAAATTTTGAAATTCGGTAAAATTTCAGAAACACAGAACAATTTTAATAATTGCTCATTTTAAATCTTAATAGAAAAGAAAGCCTTACGTAAAAATCATTCAAATCCAAATATTATTATTTCCAATGCTGTTACGAATGGACAGATTGTTGTTATGGACAAACACGCATTCATATTGATGGAGAAATGAGACTGACAAATGAAAGCCAATATTGCTCCATCCATAAAAATCAAGCAACTTCTGACCTTACAAGACTTAAGACAGCTGTTAAATCTTCTCATATATTCTCAATTCAGTTTAAAAAATCAATCATTCCACCTATTGCTAATTGTGGTAGGTTTTATGCTCTCACCAAAGGTCACAAAATTAGAATCCCTTTCCGACTTATAGTTTCTAACTTGGAAGTTAGAAACTGTGGCCAAATATTTAGTTTCTAAATTTTCCCCATTACTTTCTAACAGTATTACTCAGCACTCCGTTCTTTTGAAGTCATCAAAAAAGATATTGCTTCCCAGAGCTCAACTATGATTTCCTTTGATGTTAAATCACCGTTTAGAATTCTAGTTAAAGGAGTCCTAAAGTATCTTAAAAATAGACTTCAAGAACTTCATTTCACACATGCTAGAACTGAGGAGTTATTTCTGTCACAAGTTTCTTTGAATCAAACCCACTTCATTTTCCAAAATAAATATTATCGCCAAAATAAAGAATATAGGTAATCCTGTGAGTCCACTATTTGCTGACATTTGAATTTTGTAAATTGGCTGCCTTCTGTAGTTTATTTCAGTGGTGTCCAACTAGTGGCTTGCAGGCACCTGGTTGCCTGCAGTTCTACATTTAGGCACCCACCAGCCACAATCACAGTACTGCCATGAGACAAAAATTTTACCCTAATTCTAATGTAAAAAATGTAAACTCATCATGTACAGAGGCACTGAATTTATGTTTACCTACTCGAATGTTATCATTCCTGTTTCCATGATTTTTAACTCCGCTGTAAATTGGGATTAGAGTGCTGGCTTTAATGCAAGCCCTGCATTCATCGTTTGTGCAAACAATAAATCATCCATGCTGTTGCCGATCACCAGTTCTGTTGAAATGTTTGCGACAGCCGCTACTAAATTGCGCTGTTTCTGGCGAGTTTTAAAATGACACTTTTAATTATTACATATATTTTGTGGTGTGCTTATCGACAAGTGTGATGTGTCAGGGCCAACCAAGAAATAGAAAACTTACCACTTCATCTACAAATGGGAGGAAAAGCTGCAATTTACAAATAATGGCAAAAAAGCAGTTTGTTTATTATGTAATGCTTCAGTAGTGGTACTAAAGTGGTTGAATGTCATCATAAAACCGTTTATAAGGATTTCAACAGTAAATATTCTCTCAGGTCTGCTTTATGTAAACAAAGTTCAGTCACTGAAAGCTCAACAAATTTATTAATAATTTTTTTAATAAAAAAATTAAACATTTTGTTATTTAAAAAAATATTATTATTTTTAAAAAATTACACAAACCCTCCTTCAGAAATGTGATGCAAGAATGCAACTTAAAGAAAAGTAAGTTACATTCTTGCATCACATAAAAAGGCATACTCAGACAGAGCCCTTGTGGAAGAAACTGTGCTGATAATGTCAGAGTCTAACAAATTTTAAAACAGAAATGAAATAATCACAGGTATAAAAAATGTGCCTCTGTCACGAAACACAGTAGTACAATGAGTGGATGATATCTGCATACAAATGAGATATGATTTGGAAAAATGTGTGTCTACTTTTCCTGAAGTTTGATAAATCCATTGATGTTACTCACTGCGACTTCTAATGTTAAGAAGAATGCAGTTTCCTGACCTTTCTGTGTGAAAGAAGCATTGTTGGCTTTGTCACAATGCACTCGTGGGCAAATCATGTATGATGCAATTAAAAACTGTGTTACTAAAGAGAAATGCAAATAAAAGAAATTCATTCCGCTGTTAATCATGAAAAATCTGGCTGCTGAAAAGCTTAGCCTCAATCACCTAATGACTATTACAGTGTAAATTTTGTTTTAAATCTTTCCTTGAAGAACTACATAGCGAATTTGGCAATATAATTTACCATGCAGAAATAAGGTGTCTGAGTCGAAGAAAAGTTTTAAGATTTGTTGGAATGCTGCTGGAGATTAAAGCTTTTCTTATATGCAAAGACCATTATGACCAAAAACTGGATGACATGAGTGGCTTGTTGACTTCGCATTTTTAACTTATATCACTGTAAAACTCAACAACCTAAATACCGCATTACAAGGAAAAGGAAATTAATATCCCATTAATAGCAAGTTAATGACTTGATGAAGTATTTGACAATTTAACAGTTATATTTTCTTGTATTATAATAGTAACTAGTTTATTAGTGTGGACTTTTCTTTATTTTCTAATTTGAAATAAAATTACTTTGAACCTCTTCCACATTTGCATTTTACTACATCTTCAGTTTTTCTACGGTCGTATTAATCTTCCTTATTATTAGGAAACAAAATCATCCAATAAAATTATATATTTTCCAAACATAAAGCTCTGGATGCCCGCGAGGCCAGCAGAAACTTAAAAGTAACCCTTAAGACAAAGCCGGTTTGACACCACCGTCTCAATGAATAAGGCCTGAGCAGAACCGGCTTACTGGTCACGATAGGAAGACCGACGCAAAGCAGCGACTAAAGAAAATTTGGTTGTTGGTTGGGAGAACTGTTGCTGCTGACACTATCTCAGAGGATGTGGTTTTTGGAGAAATTGTCATTTCATCTACCCCTAGGGCTAAAGACAAAGGAAAAAGAATTGAACAAGCATGTCAACGACCCCGAGATTTCACTCCCTGAAAGTTTTTCGGTGTTAGGAGGGCCAACTAGTCCTGAAACTGAGAATGACTTAAAGATATGTAGGAAACTGATG